AGGGAATTTCGTGCCTGACATGTCTTTAAAAAGAAAGGGGATTTCAGATGTCGGATTCAATCGTCTCATTGGCGGTTTTTGTGAGGTATCTGTGGCCCTCTTGTATACCTGCGAAGCTGGGAATGTTCCTCTTCTCCATGCATTTCTTTTAAAATTTTCCTCCTTTTTTATCCCTTTTTTTGTCATTTGTGGGTCGTTGTCTTTCTTTTCTGGTCTTGATCGCTGTCTCCTTTTCTATCATGAGAATGACTGTGAAAGGGATTAGGCTGATATTTAGCGCTTAACGATTGAAGATTTCTTAAACTAGCAGTCCATCATTTCTTCTGCGAAATCTGATCCTTTCTTTACTCTCCCGTTGACCGCAGTCTTAGCAAGGCGCAAAAGGCATACGTGGATGCCTTCGGCTCCACTGGTCAAACGCCTATGTGACAGGAAGAGATCAGTCTTACCGCCAGAGGTGGAGCATCCCGCAGAGTTTGATACCTATCAAATCAGGATTGGATCGTGTACGAAGGAAAAGGGAAAAGGCAGACAAGGATAGAGAGGACTTTTTTGGGAAAGGTTATGGGTATAGAAGTTGCTGATTGATTAAATCAATCGATGCCATTAGATTTCACCCATATATGAGGAAGAAGAAATTGATCGATTTCATGGTCGGGGTACGAGAATTAAATGTTGTCGCAGTTTTGCGGCACGAATTTCTTTCGGGATTAGCAAGTTATTTGAATGAACTTTTCTGTCGCATTGTGTTTGGTTTTTCCATTTGATCGGGGGAAAATATCCATATCTCCCGAAAATGACTCTAGCAACATGAATCAAGGTCCTCCCATGGCTTTTCAAATGCATCGATGTGCAGGACACAGGAAACACTACAAGGGGGCTTGCATTGGGGGCCTCACTAGACTCAACTATTTGTGCAGATTGACAGCATAGTGAAAATTAATTCTCATGCCGCACCAACCGTCCCTTTCCAAGTGAGCAATTTTTCTCTTCCTACCTGTTAGGGTTCAGGCTTACGGTCCAATTCATTGTTTATTTTTATTTTTCACAAAAATTGCACATCTTTCTTTTGTGCATACAACAGGAATGGCACACTCGGTAGAAAATATACACGACAACAGCCTGGTGACTAAAAAAACTGTTTTCTTCTTAAGCCGCTATCCGCCGTGTGATAGTCGCCTCGCGAGAAGTTCGTGACGTACGCTTTTAACGGGAGTTGCATTTGTATTGGGGCGCGAGTGAGAAAGAAAGCCGACATCGGTATCAACTCTCGTCAAAACTCAGGAGAGGAATCAACATCAAAAATTCTTGTTGTCATAAGGCGTCCTGAAGCTCGTTAATATACTTACAATTTTGCATCATTCAGTAGTTTTGACGGGCATATAGGAATGGCGTCAGACCTTAACGGCCCCGATGCCCCAGCAGAAGCCGTTATCTCAGTCTTATTTTCCTGTCATGTGTTCAAGTTCCTATTCTCTGTCCCCCGCATCTTTGGGCTTTGCCGGGGGATTTTCGTGCTCTCTGTAATTTTTGTACGTGACGAGTGTGTTTCTAGTGAGCAAGTACCCAGAGCTTCCCGTCGTTGGGAGCTGTACCTGTCTACAGACGTGCAGCGTGGTGGTGCGGGATGTGGCGTAGGCAAGAAAGCTCTTGGGCTTGTGCTTACAGTTTAGGCGCTTAATGTTTTCCCTTTCAAACAGTGCGACATGGTAGCCACTCGAGTTTCCAAGAATACGTGCACCGCCTGTCGAAGTGCCAAGGTAAGATTTGGATCAAGGATGCTGATGCAAAAGAGGATCTCGTGTCACATTTCACCTCGACCACTGCGAATCGAGCGAGTGACGTTGTTCATGTCCTCACTTATGCATGGCATGTATTGCAACTGTACCATCCTGACAGATCCGATGCAACCGTGGTGAACCATCGTGCGAACGGTAAGAGAAAGTACACGGATGTAATCCATGATTTTACCACTTAGGAGCTCAATTTGATTTGGGCATCTCGAAGAATGTTCCTGAGCGTTGAGCGAGTGGTCTTGTAGGTAATCAAAAAGTCACGTCTCACAAGCCAGAAATTCAACGAACCGCTGCAGCAATACATTAGAAAGCCGACTGCAGTCTCATTTATTGTTGGACTCTCAAGATTTGCAATATCCGTTCCTTCCGCCTTACGCATTTCTTGCCCATAAACCCTGACGCCCGCACAGATGCACCAAATTGGGTATCGCATGTATTGAACAAGTGCGCACCCAAGGGCGGCCACGTAAGACCCAGGCCTTGACATTGCTCAATGAGATTTACGAGTCTTCGAATCCGCATAACGGCGCACCAAACCCGCCATGCCCATCGTCTCTCCACGCCTGCGGGTCGTCTGAGTCGGGGTCTTCGGCTACCCAAAGCATCGAGAACTCCAGTACTGACGGTAAAACCCCCGGCTTTCTACTTGCCACGGATGCAGCCGTGAACCCTGTTGGTGCTGCTCCCGGACGTCTTCGCCTCGCCGAGTACCCCGTCTCCACCCTCGCTACCGACCTCTCCCATGGCTTTGCCAGCCTCCACTACCGGGGCCAGAGCGACACAGAGAAAACCATCGCCGTCCTGTACGTCACGTTTCTCACGATAGATGTCCTGACTTGGTGCAATGTGAGGGGGTGGAGCAACGCCATTGTATAATTTTTCCCCTCGTGTGGTCTGACAAGATTTCTCTCTTTGCCTGTCTCGTCTCCGTCACAGCCGCGCCTGGAACCTCATGTCGGGCACGCATCGGCAGGATAGCTCTTACGGGGCCTTCAATCAAGTGGTGCGAGCCTTGGCGCTGGACCACGTCACGGCCATTCTCGTGCAGCAACGTCCTCCAAACTGCCGGGATATGCCGCCTGGTACCCCTCTGTATGGGCCCATGTCCGAGGTTTCTGACGACAGCGATCCTAGCGATCTTTTGCACGAAGGGTTTCGTGGTTTTGAAAGTGGAGAAGGGAAAGCCGTGGCGTACTATGTGATGGAAGGCGGGCACGTACGCCTGAGCGTCAATCCCCTCTTTGAGTCCATGCTCATGTCGATGACCGACGCCCTCTCCCTTCTCGAACATCACCGGATGCTTCCCATTTTCCTGTGGGGGTGCCTTTTCACCCCGTTCTCCCAACGAAAGCTCTACGGTCGCTTGTCCCAGGCCATCTTTTCCGCCGCTTCGCCTGTAGGGGAAGTGACAATGGATTTGGAATGTCTGGGTCGGAAAGGGGAACCCTTCTGGGGCCGCACGTCTGTGCGGCATGTCGTGGAGGATGAAGGCGCCTACGCTTCTTGCATCATTTCTATTGAATTGCTACGGGTCGATGAGATTTGTCCTTCGTATTCACCTCTGCATGCTGCCCGCCCAGTCATGGATCGGAACAGGCGATCTTCAAATGTGAACAGTGAAAAGGACGTCTCGGAAACGTATCCTGACAACACGACTGGACCTGCCGCTGCCACTGCTTTCACAGGATCAAAGGCATCGTTTCGAGATGGAATAGGCCATGGGTGGGACAAGAATTTGGGGGGAGTCGGTGACAACATCGTTGGGCCTGCCGCGAGTCTCAGGGGCCGGGAGGAGCTCAGTAATGACTTTAAACACAGGCCACTGACCCGCCGTCGGCACAAACGTAAATGTCAAGACACGAACGGGCCATGGGACGGGACTGAGTTGGATTGGGAGGGCCTTGGTATCAGCCATAGTCATGACGGAGGCAGTCTGTGGAGGGAACCGGGAGGGAAGGACTCCCATTTTTACGTCTCTGAGCCGCAACTTGCAGCCCTGACTGGATTTCAGGAAGCACATTCATGGCAGCAGCAGCCGCCGCATCAGAATGTAGTTGTTCAGTCGCAGTCATCATGGGTGCAGCGACGACAAAATCAGACCAAGAAACAGCACCAGACTCACCAGGAGCAAATGCAGACACTGCACCATAACCACCAATTACAGCCACACGAGCAGTACCAGGTGTGGCAAAGGCAACGACAGCAACAATCCCGCCACCGTCAGCAGCAGTATCGAAACGTTCCAAAAGAATATTTGTACTATCCAAGTTCGCAGCCGCCCCCGCAGCAGCAGCAGCAGCAGCAACAACAACATGCCCAACGATCACGAGAATATGAAGCATGGCAAAGTCAACAGCAGCCCTCCAGGCAGCCGCAACGACAACTGACTGACCAGTCTCAGCAAAAGCGTCAGCAAGATCAGCAGCTATGCTGGCAAGTCAAAGAAGAGGTTGCGACAACAAAAAGTAGTGGAGAGACTTCGGAAGGGATCGAAGAAGGAGAGCATAGGGGAGCGTGGAATTGTCCCGACGGGCAGAGCGCCTATCCGCATGAACCCAGCATCATGGAGTTCCAGACCACTCTGCTTTCCTTAGCAGCCTTTTCCGTGCATGGCTCACATATGGCAAACAGCCCTAGCGCGACCAGTACCGGGAAGGTGTTTAGACAAACCTCGGCAGGACTGGAAGGGGCGGAGGAGCAAAAGATGGTCTCGACAGATGGTGACGAAACGCTCGATTTTGATGATTTGATGAAATGCGACTTCGATTGGAGCATCCTGACCTCCTCGCCGCTCGTGCGTTTGAGTGGAGCTCCCCCCACACCACTGTTGACGAAGTCCCCTTCGCTGGTGCCCTTATCCCGTACCAGCTCCATCACCACGACCACAACTTACATCCCGAAAAGCAGCCGGCAGCCGGTGGTCAATCCCTCTCTTTCTCTGCATTCGACAGTCGGTTGCCTACCATTGCATGTACAGAATGAGGGTTCGGACGCTGAAAGCTGGCTTACGACTGTTGTCTAAGAGATGCGCTAGACTAGGCGGGGAATGAGAGCTAGGGCACTGTGCAAGCTTGTGCCCCTTGACAACTTGTTTCAAACAATGCTGGGTATTGCGTATGTATGTAGGAAAGGAAGAAACACTCTTCTATGTCTCCATAAAAAACATCCCGCCAGAAGACTAATTCACGGGAAGCAAAAGATAATGGTGATTACGAAAGAGCATAATACAAGCCATGCGCACGTCGAAAAGCACAACATTAAATTGTAGCTGACTTATTACTAGTACAATATCTTCATTTATTTACTTTCGATGTCAGTGAGGTCATTAGAAATATCCGTTCGGCCGAGATCAAGTAGTGCCAAATTAAATATCACTATCGATATCCAACGAGATTGCCTGGGCATAATAGGTTGACAAAGCAGCTATGCAGCATTCTTTGACTTGTGCATGCTTTGCACAAGTGGGCCTTCTCTGTATGTATCGCGCCCTTTCCATCTTTCTCGTCCGTTTTTCCACCAAATGGCAACGCTCTGCCTATTTTTGCACATAGAGCTCCACGATCAGGTCACCAAAGCCTCCACCCTGTAATGGTCATTTCTTTGCTTGAGCAAGCAGCAGGAGGAAACCCAATGTCCATCCACTAGCCCGACACCTTTTTCCGCTTCCCCCCCTTCTTTTATCCGACCTCTCTCACCTTTTTCGGCATACCCCCTCCTTTTTCCCGCAGTCGAAGGAGGCTCCCATCCCGAGGCACTCTCCCTCTTTCCACTTTCACCTTCACCTCTCTTCCGTTCAAGAGGGGGACCTTGACGACGATATCCTTGGCGGCCTGCACACAGAAAAGGGGGAAGATCCCAAGAAATTACTAATTGAATGAACACCATGCCCACAAACCTCTCCTTGCGTCCATCACGCGGACATCAAAATTCCGGGGCCTTCTTACCATGCTACGATCCACATTCAAGCCATTACCCCCATCCGGCCCCCAAGACTTCCTCCACCCTCCAGGTTCCAAGATCCCTTTTTCCTCCCATCTCTCCACGTCTCCTCACCTGCGCGGTGCTCAATCCTTTCCTCCAGACCAGGTCGTCGCCACGCCGGGTAAAATACCGGTGGCGTGCCTCCACCAGGATGAAAACCACGGGTGGGAAAGGGGACGAGGGAGGGAAGGAAGGAGGGCTGGAGGGAGCGGCGGCGAATTGGATCTTGGTCCCGGCCTTCCAGCCACGCTTTATTTCCACGCGGAAGGTTTTTTCTCTGTACCGGAAGGAGCCATGGGTGACGGAGGCGTAAGGCGACAGAGGTGTATTTGGGAAGTTTCCCGAGGGATAAGGAGGAAGCGAGGCAACGAGAAAAAGCGCGCAGAAAGCAATGGGGAAACAGGCGATCTAGCCCTTCCAGCCAGCGTGCGGAACTCCGGAGTTCAGAATACACATACTGGATTCCTACTACTTGAAGCAAAAAACTCCCCGGCTC